GCAGTTTGTCATTCTTGTACTTCAATTAAAAGACAAAATTAGACACTGCAAAAAGTGGCCTGTCGATTCAACTTTAATGAAAAATGTGTAAATACAAACATCGTGGGAACCTGTGTTGCAAACTAACTTTGTTTGTATTTTGGCTATTTGGTCAGAATAACACCTCTCCATGTCGTCACCTAAAGGCTTCCGAGAGAGCACTGTAGAAGCTCCTGTACTTGACTTCTCCTGACTCCCAGCAAATCACAAAATGTGCAAACATTTTGAGAATGATGGGAGCTGAGGTGGGTCATGCAAACATCTCTAGGCAGTGGACTGTCTAATGATGGCAAACACCTGTCACTGAAGGAGACCACGCCCATAGTTATTGATGTAGAACTTTAAGCCGTGATACAAATTAAATGGGTGTGATATATAACAATTTACCCCCCTGCACAGCTGTCTTGAACAGGGATGTACATGGAAACACCAAAACAGTGTTTTGTACCAGGCTGTAAACACGTACATTTCTGCTGTAAAGTTTGGCATTTTGACACGGGGCTCGATGAGGATTGACTTGCTTTTGGAGCCTTAAGTGGCCGCTTGAGGAAGTGCATTGTTTTTTGCATTTTGCATTGCCTTCATTTTTCAACCCTGGAGGTTCTCACAATGGGAATAAACATGAATGGTACGAAATTGGCCTCATTTTCAGGAAGTGCTGTTACCTTTAGACAGAGCCGGGCTGAACCATTATCCCACTGTTGCTGAAGTTACAGAAATGAGAGTGGGACCAATTCTCTTATCTAATTTCGATCAAAAAATGATTGAGCATATTTCCCAAGATGTAAAACTATTAATAGTAAAAAAAAAAAAAAAAACTTTTTCCCTAGATGACTATGTGGAAAGTAGTTCTACAAGAATGTAACCAGTCCCCCCGTTCTGCAAGTGGAAAACTGGTTTCCAGATTCCCAGCTTTTCTCCTGAGAATCCCTTCCAGCTCCAGGCTTGTTGTGAAAAAAAAAGCATGTCACCTCACTCCCACATTATTATTAACACTGCATTATTAATGGCAGTCTGCAGCAGCAAACTATTTGTCTTTGTAAAGCTGAGAGAGCAGAGCGGAAGTAGAGGATTGCCACATTCTTGCGGAGGCCCCACATTCCCCAGAGCACCACAACAGCGTTGTTGTAGCTCGTACAGTTCCTCCTCTGCTCCCCGCCTCCTCCCTGCANCCCCTCTCTTCCAGCCCCCAGCTTCCTGTGCAGCAGCATGGCCACTCAACCCTTCCCTTCGCCTGCTCTGAGCTCGGTCAAGCTCCATCTCCCTCTACCCCACCGCTCCAAATACATTATTTACACTCTCCTCCCCTCCCCTCAGCTCAGCTCCAAAGAATCAGGGCAGAGGGAAATAACACCACTGTATAGCCCCCCCACACACACACAAGCTGAACCCCCCCACCCCTTCCTCCACCACCACCACCACCCCACCTGCTCGCTCTTTTCTCACTCTGCGGGACGAAAATACAGTGCAGGGCTGGGCTGCGACAATGGGAAACTCTGTGAGGCCCTGGCCCTCCCATTAATCCCCTCTGACGTGCCTCCCGAGGGCAAGGATTTGCTACAAGTCAATGCAGCAGACCTACAGTATGCAAAACAAGCCTGTCTGACTCTCTCATGATGTTCAAAGCCTCTGCACTGCACTGCTTGTGAGACAGGAAGGCAGATCAGAGAGAGGGGAGGAAAAAAAAAAAAATAACTGTGCACACAGTCTGCTCGGTTAACCCTTTCTTCACCCTCCTGCTCGGCGTCACTTCCCCTCTTCTAGTTTCACTCCTCGCCTAGATTGCACAGATAACGCTGATGACAGATGACAGGATGATGCTGAGCGAAATATATTCTTTCTTCCATTATGCTCTACTGCTATTATCTTCTTTTTCCTACCTCCCTCCCCCCCCTTCATGGCAAATTCAGCTCTAAGACGGGCTCATTATCAGAGCCAAATATGAAAACCACTCAGTGTAAACAGGAATTCACGGGTCATGTGATGCACTTACTTCTCTCAGGCAGAGCAGTGCTATTGAATTGCAGCCTTATCGGGGATCTAGTGATGAGGAGATAGGTGGAGGCTGGAGGCACGGATGACATTAGAGTAAGCCAGGCTGGGTGGTTGGGTGCTTGGTGGGGGAGCGCCTGTCCACACCCTTCAGCTCACACTCACAGGGAATGTAAACAACAGAGCTAAATAGGCAGAACTACACATGGAGGAGAAAAGCTGCACGGGAGGAAGGGCAGCAGCAAAAGTTAAAATACCACAGAGAAGGCAGCAGAGAAGTGGAAAAACAGATGACAGTCAGGCATTACCCCACAGAGGAAGAGAAATCCGCCAGGATTTGTAGCCTGCTTTAGATTCACGTGATTGGCTCCACTGTTGCCTCCTCCTCCCCCCCCCTCTTTTTTCCACCCATCCTCAGACCCTTTGAGATGGAAAAATGGGTCATCTGTGTGGAAGTTAATACTCTGAGCACGTACAGTGCTGCTTTATTTTTAGGACGTGCCTTGGAAATTTTTCTCCTTCTTTCCCTCACTGGTGAATGACACAGAAAAGGCGATGGGGTAATTAATATACCGTGTTGCTGCTGTGCACACAAGTGGCAGTGCAGAAGAGAACTGTGGTCTTTATAATAGCCTGGACATGGCTCATGTTTCTCCCCAGTCTGACCCTCTCCATGACAACGTACAGTAAGGCTGCGGACACCACGGCTGTGACATCAGCATCGTCAGGCGGCAGGAAAACATGTTCCAAAACACGGACGCTGGAGGACTCCGGGCCTCTGTGGACGCCTCCACCTGACAGCCACTGATCAGCGAGTTAGAGCCAGCAAATACCTGCTCAGAGGTGACACTCAGAGGATCTCAGACCAGTGCAGCACAGAGTCTGCTGCTTTGCAGAGCTACGTGAAGCTGCCATGGCAACCACATACAACCGAGTTATTTCTGGCTGCCTTAAACTCCCAAACACAGCTGCTCCTACATAACCAGACATCTCCACCGGTCAGATGGCACTCAGTATACAGAAGCAGTAATCAAGCTTTGACATTCAAACTCACACAGTGCAATAACACAGCAAAGGTCATTAGTGATGTGGTTAATTTGTTGACAGGATTTTCAGTAATGAGTTGCAGAGCTCAAATTATTAGAGTGATTAGAATATTCCCAACACAACACTTGACATACGATCAGAATCCATGCAAACAAATTACAATGCCAGTCAGCCTGCTGAGGTCCTAGCTGCTTAGAGCCTCTCTGTGCTTCTATCCTGGGATTTTAATGTTGTTTTTGAAAGCAGGTTATTTCCTGTCGCTGTAATGAAGTGACAGGGTGCATCTGTCATCGTGTGCACATTGGAAAAAAGGATTATAAACTGTTAAAAATCACTCCTCCTGAGCACACGGTCTCTGTGCTGCAGGCACAGCCATTGTTATTGCTGTCAACTGGAACTGTTATGCTCTCAGCTCTCTCCATTCAGTTGTCCTTCAGTGGAACGGTGTAAAGCTCTGCTGAAACAGCCTGGAGCAACAGTGCCCCCTACTGCAAAACATGAGGGAGTTCCTTCAGTTCCCCGTTTCTTCCCCCTGCCTGCTTCATCAGATATGAAGAGCTGACTCATAGCCCATTCATACAGATTGAAATAAAGCAGGAATGCAATTAAAAGAGTTTTGTTTCGTTAACAGAATTACAACAAACTCCTCATTGATTACGTTAGTATTCTGCTCAGGACTGAGGACACAGAGGACGCCTTGTCGAACACAAAAACAAAAGATTTGCTGTGTCATCCTGAAGGCAAACAGCATCTGCCCTCATGTCAAGGCCCGTTTCACTGGGTTTACTTTATGCTGGCAGGCTTTCAAAGCAGCTAGTGCTGGTCTGGCATCCTTCACTGACCCCTCAGCTCTCTCCAGCCTGCAGGGGACTAAGCGGCAGCTGAGTGTTTATTTACAGGAGATGCAGGCCAGCGGTACATTATGTGGAAGGGTCTGAACCTGAAGGAGACCACAACTCCAGCTTGACCTCCAACACAGTCTGTCATTTTTTTCCTCCGCCTCCCCAAAGGACAGATTAACAACAAGTCACTTCTTCTGCACATTCTCACTCAAGGCCAGTGGACTCTCTGCAGGCCCCTGACAGGCTTCTCCTTTTCCACCAAATGGCAAAACAGCAGGAGTCTCGAATAAAAGACTGCAGAGTGAACGCATGAGTTCATGGAAAATGGAACACTGTCTACCATTTAGTCCTCACTCGACATTTCTGCTCCGCTGTTCATTTTTCATTCCTAATGTAGAAAAACTATTTTCCGCTGCTCTCGTTTCCTGGCAACCTAAAGGCCCAGGCTGCTCCAGCCAGAGCCTTTAGAAAAACAGCTGCAGACAGGGATAAAAATAATTACAGCTCTATTTGTCTTCCAAGAGACACAGTTCTAAGCAGACCTACTCCCTTCCCCTACGAGCTGCTCCACTTTTGCTCCCCTGCACCCACAATAAAGCCATTCACAATAAAGACATTGTGGCTCAGCGGACTCGCATGAGCTCGTGTTTCACCACGCTGGTTGGGAACAAGAAATGCTGTACTCTCATGACGGCAATTCAACTCTGTTTTGGCAGCGTCTGGATTTTATTAAACAGTGTCAAGGTTTCATGACACAAAAAATAAAGATTCAAGGAGAGTTTCTCTTGCACTTAACATACTGAGATGCATGCTACCCATGAGATTGGCTTAATGCGGTTCTCCATGTTTTAACATTTTTCTGGTATCAATCTCTAGGAATATTTGTTTGGAGTTTCTTTGCATGTAACACCTTCCATTCAGCAAAATAACTGCAGCTTTCCAAACAGAAACTGCCCACACTCCATACTTCAGAGTTGTAAATGCTTTGAGTTTCCCTGTGCATTGCTACTGCCATCTACTGGCAAATGGAAACTCAGGCACTCCACATGTGTTTTCACCTTTTATTGTAGGATTTTACACAGAAAAATATGTCCAGATGTGAAAGATTGGAATATAAAAATAACATTTAACTGACACTGCAAGAACATCTTCAGAGAAGTTAATAAATCACAAATAAGTCTTCCGTTTAGTTTCAGATTTTCTTTCACACGTTTCACATGTATATTAACTGTGCACCAACAAGTAACAAATCATCACTTATTTTTAATTTAATACATTACATATTGGCAACCTCCTCCCCCAAACATAATTATCTTTAAGGGAAATAAATACAACAAACAGATGGCTAGAAAACATGAAATCTGGTAGGAGCAAGGTGAGAAAGAAGGAATGAATTCAACGTTTCCCAGAAGCGCAATCTTGAGGAAGTTCTTTAACCTCGGAGTGCCACGATGGTGGGAGATTATTCACCCGATATCCAATGATCAAGGTCTGTCATAATCAGACTCACAACTCACAAGCAACTGCAGTCAGACATATCCCCCCCAAAATCTGAAATCCCTTTATGGAATAGATTTCATCTCACGCTCATTCACACGCATTCATTCTACATCATCTTCTGACAAAGACTGAGAGCTGACGATTCGCTGAAAAAATAAGAAAAAAATACATCTTTCAGAGTTTATGCCTACAAATCTACATAACACAACAGCTACACTTGTAAACGTGCGTGCAAAACTTGGGAAACACATGACATTAACTACCAGTTGGTCTGTAACGTTAGTATTTCTGTCTTAGAGGTGAAATAGCCAAGAGCTACTAACACATGGCTCTCAGCTTTGGATGATTCTAAGATTGATCTTGCACCCTTCCTTGTCCCAGAGACCACAAATTGTAACTGGGGGGTTTACTAAGGGTGCTCAGGCCCATTGCAGTGTTAATAGGAAATGCAGGAAACCCTCACCTGGCTGATGCTGGGTAGTTTGGTGAGCAGCATTTGGAAGACTGGAGGGGGCAGCGTTTGCTGGAGCACCTGAAGCAGCTGCTGAGGTTGACCACATACCGCGATTGCATTGGTCAGGTGGTCCACACCTTTCTCAAATTCACCTGGGGGTAAGTTTAGAAAAGGATTACAACAAGAAATAGACAAAAAAAAGGGCTCAAATGGAAGGAAACATTAAGCACTACACAGGTAAATGAGCTACACCTATATTTACTATTTGTCAGAATTAAAGAACACTGCTTTCAAAGCTGTTTCTCATGGGCCTAATGTGTGTCATAAACATAAAATCAAGTTAAGTCACCATTATTTATACAGCACAATCAAGGGAAAAGTCAATGTAGAAAAGCAATGCCTGATCAAAAAATAAGAGTGCTGTTTATTAATTAACCTAATAAGTATAAATACTAAGTCTAAGACACTAAAGCATTATTTAGTGTGTACATTTAAATACTAAAAATGAAAGCCCTGTAAAAAAATAGACACAATACAACTTTATCTGACTATCATAAATATTAGGGCTATTATTGATTATTGAGATTAACCTATTTGACAACTAAAGTGACGACCCTGCAAAAACACAAATGAAAACCAAACAAAGCCAAGGATTCCCCGGATCCCCTTACAGAAAACACACAAAATATACAACCTTGTGCAAGCAGCTCCTCTCCCAGCTGGATTTCTTCCAAAAAGAATTTCTGAACAGCTTCTGCGTCCTTCAGGTCAGGCAGCTTAAAGTCAACACACAGTGTCGGAAATGCACATTTAGGGCCCAAGTACAAACAAAAGCGAGCTTACATCGATGTTTTTCCGTGTGTCTTACCTTCGACAGACCAGACGTCACACCTGAAACCTTTTGCTGTCTTCTCCCTGTAAGAAAAAAAAGAGGTTTTAGACTTCTGATGGTTTGCCAGAACAGGACACACATGTTCACAAGTTAGTTTAGCAGCATTTCTCTTTTAAGAGTTAACTATTCCGCACTGTAGCAGAGGAAAACTAAGTCAGAGTGAATGTTAACACTCCCTGCGCTTAAAGTACATGGAAAAGCAGAAGTTGTTTAGTTTGGTACAGTTTATATGAAGAGTTTTCGTGTCCTTGCGGTCCGTTAGCCACATGGAGGCTAGCGTGGATGCTAAGCCCACTGTTAAGCGAACTTCCCCTGCTCCGTCCGCATCAACCACTTACGTTCACGCAGCTTTTCCTTGAAGCGAGGGTCACTCCGTCGCTTTCTGTCAAAATAAATGCAGTATGCCACGAAAAGGGTCCCACACACCCCTGCTACTATCGCGCTCGTCCTACCGCTCATCATATCTCAAACGATGTAGCATCGGCTAGCAGCTAACACGCTGCTGGAGACGCGCGGACAGGAAGTACGTCATAGGAAGCGGTGCTTTGTGAAGAAAATAGAGCTCCTCAAACACAGGTGCGCAATGCCACGTTATTGTATATTAAATACGTACACAAATAAACAAATGTTCCGATAAAATAAATATATATGACTGAAATAAATTCAGAAATAAATAAATGTGGTATTAGGTAAAAGAGGAAAAAAATGCAGTTTTAAAATGTTACCATATTTATTTATTACATTTAATAGTATATTTATTGTCTCGTTTTTGTTTAATTTTGCGATTTATTTCAGAGTCATATTTATTTATTTCACACTAATATTTACATATTTGTGTCTTTAATTATTTATTATTGAACAAAGTAGCACTTTATAACATGAAATGTAATCGTAATTTAATTTCAGGAGCTTATTTCAGAACCGTATTTATTTGGAATGTATTTAGATGGCATTCTGTACAATGGATTTCTGTTATTTGATAAAATGAGATTAGCCTTTATTGATCCCACCTTGGGGAAATTTACAGTGGGAAATTTTCGCGGTGAAGCCTCGCAAAAGTCACAGTTTGGATCAGGAGAAGAGTTGTGATTTATTTAGCTAGAAATAGACAGCAGTACCTGTAGAAAGTTAACAGCTCGTTCGCCGCAGAAGTCGTTGTTAGCATCGTGAAGCTTTAGTTAGCTTAGCCCAGTGCAGCAGTCTAGACTTTAACCTGATAGCTGCTCCATTTTTAGTTATTTCAGAGGAAACTGAATCCAAAATGTCAGACACTGTGCGTTAAAGTAAGTAGGTCATACAGCTATTATCATATGTAAAGATGTGACTTGTGACAGAAATGTGGAAAGTTCATTTTACATCAAAGTAAAGAAAGTAAAAATGTGCACTATTCACTGAGCTGGAGCAACTCTTGTCAGTTGTAGCTACACTGTAAAAGAAAAATACTGTAGCTATCAAAAACTGTGAAAATAGGCATATATCAGTGAAATGATGATATTTTTTAGTTAGTATAAATAGTGTAATTGTATCAGCTCAAGTAGAAAGCTAAAAACAGTGTAATTGTATGGTTACATATTATAAAATAATACATTGCTATTTAAGCAAATTCAGATTTTGGATGTGGACATTATTTATAATTTTGGCCTGTAATTTACGTGTAAATTAATATTCATTTTCTCTCATTTTACTGGTTATCATGTGTTAATTAACAAAACTAAAACACTTGATAACATTTTGACTTCAGCCAACAGATCAGACTGTTGCCAACAGTAAAAATGACATCTGAACATTTCTGCTCAACTTTATTGTATTTTTGAGGGATTTAACGCACGAACTACAGATGAACTAACCCAGAGTTATTTTTTATTATTCTAAATTTTGAAAAAAAATAAAAAAATAAAAAAGATAATTTGCCTCCATGGCTCTTCATAAAACATTTGAGACCACCGTCCTAAAGTTTTTCATGGGGAACATTTTAGTCTAAATGTAATGTTTTGTTTTTATTGGTTGACGTTTGCTATGTTTAAAAATACATTTTCCCGGGCCGCCGCTTTAGCTCACCTGGTTGAGCTGGCGACCCATTTCAGGGGCTGTAGTCTCTCCAATGCAGCGGCCATGGGTTTGAATCCCGCTCATGGCTCTTTGCTGCAACCCCTTCCCCCAATCTCCTCCCCCACTTTCCTGACTCTCTTTCGACTGTCCTATATAATAAAGGCAAAAGGGCCCAACAAAGTAACTTTAAATAAATAAATGTTCCCATCAAAGTATAAATAAAGTAAAAATTCAACATTCTCTGAAGGCTTAAGGTGAGTTTCTGTGGCATTTATCTTTTGTCTTGTTCTTTGTCTTTCACACAGGGATGACTTTAGGCCTGATTTTGAATCACTTTTACAGTCTTAGAGAAAGACTTCATTGCCCTTCCAGCTGACGTTCTGATGTAAATGCTTCAGGTCATCACCGTTCCCCTCACTGTTACAAGCGTGATCATCAGTAAGCTGAAGGAGCGTTTCTCACTCTGATAACAATCACACCAGGTTGTGCTTTATTTCAGGTATATTTGTATGCATGTGCATTTAAGTCATGTGAATGCCTTAATACCAAATTGAAAACTATACAGAAAAAAATCTCTTTGTCTCAACCATCATGGATAGCTCTATTATATGTCTATGTGATTCAACATAAAAATGTTTCTTAGCCAGTCACAGTTTAATTATTTAGATTTTTTCATACGTTTTAACCAGGTAACAAGTATCTGCATAAATATTTAAACATCTGCCACCAATGCATATGCACTAGTTGATGTTTATGCTGCAGGGATGTCTGCTGTACACTGACTATACTCATATATGGTTCTACTAATGTGCTAATCTTCACACCACATTACCTCATGTTTTATATCCTTTATAGGTGTTGCTGGTCTTGAAGCAAACTCCATTACAAAAATAGCTGCACATGGATCAGTCTACTTTGTCGTGACCACTCTTCTGTCAGTGGCTACAAGTAAGAGAAATATAACGGTACATTGAAATACCATTCAGCTTCTGTCACTTTTTTGTGCACAATACTGTCAATGAGTTCCACATTACTTGTGTAATAATTATCGTAAAAGTTGATGCTGAGTTTTTTTTGGTCACAGTTGTACAAGCTAATGACAAGAAAACTTGCTTGTTAAGTCTAATGCTCAGGTTTTCGTTGTTTACATTGAGGCTCCTGGTAAGAGTGTTTCACGTCTGCAGGTTGAGCCACATATGTTGGACCTAATGTGACAAAATATTTATTTTCATGCTGTTATTCTCAGTAGGGTTTCATATTATCGAGAGCTTGATTTGCTTGAAACTTTTAACTTTTTAAAGTGTTGCTTAAAAATCTCATGATGTCAGATATAATAATACATCAGTCAGAGGGACCAAACCAATACTTCTATTTTGATACTTTAACTACATTTTTCTGCTGTGTACCTCTAGCTAAGCAGGTATTTTCATACAGGACTTCAACTTGTAAAGGGGTAACATTGCATTGCTGTATTGGTACTTTTACTGAAGTAAAGAATCACGTGGCTCCTAATACAGCTTGTGTATTATTCTTTCATTCAAGGTATTCTAGTTGAACTTTTACAAAAAATGATTATACAGTCAAGCCCATGAACTTTGGAACAAACTCATCTGGTCAAAATCTGCACCAGCTTGTTGATCGTTAGTTTTTTCTTAGTGCCTTACAGTTTTATTCCACGTTAAGACTTAGCGTTGGGATGAAATAAATAAAACATTTGCAGTAGTAATCGCTTTTCCGGTCATTGTGACATTTTATGCATCAGCTTTTGAGCCAGATTGTGTTTTAGCTGCTAGGTTTGCTTCCTTTTTCCAAACTTGGGTGTGTTTTGTCGCAGGAATGACGCTGGTGCTGGTGCTCAAGCCGGGGATGGATGAAAACAGTGGGATAAGTAAGGACGACAATGTGATCGCCTCCGACACCGCCCAAGCCTTGTTGAATCTAATCCAGTGAGAAGGCAGATTTACTTTACGCACAAGTTGTTTAGCCTCATCAGTTTCATGACAGCAAATTTTGACTTTATTCTTCACAGAAACATGCAGAAGGCCACTGAGCCAACCATGATGGGAAGCTGCGTGGCAGAACCCAACACACTCGTACTGATCATCTGCTCCTTCGCAGTTGGCGTGGCGCTGCATAAATTGGGGAACAAGGGGAAATTCCTCCTCGATGTGATTGTCGACGTCAACGACGTCACGAGGGAGGTGGTGACCTGGATCCAATGGGAAAGTGGAGCACCATAACCTGAATATAAACGTGTAGAAGTCAAATTTAATGTATAGTAAATGCACAGCAGCATCTTCTTCTCTTCTATCCTAAGTTGCTCGAGTCAGGGTTTCAGATAATTATCAGGTTTCAGGATGTGTTTGTTTTTCTGAGTGACACTGCTCTCTTGTTTGACTCGGTGTTTCCTTTTAGTTGCTTGCCAGTGGGGGTCCTGTTCATGATCACAAGAAATCTTGTGGAGGTTTACGACTGGGAGACAGTCTCCAAACTGGGAGGTTTTGTGGCTGCGGTCATCATTGGGTATGACCTTTCTCACTCGTTTAGCCCACTAAAAAATAGTTCCTTGACAAATCCACGATTTCTGCACCTCATAGCAACTAGTGATGTGCTATAGTTGCTATGATAAAACAATAAAACCCAATGTAACTTATCAACGAGACTAAAAATAACCAGCTGGGCCATTAAGTTTCTTTGTCCTGTCAGCAACTCGGTCATTCATCAGTATTAGCTTGCATTAATATTCAGTGTATATTATATTGTATGTTTTCGGCTCGTAATCTGTGGAGGGATTATTCTACCACACCTCTATTTTCTAGTAACAAACATAACCCCTGGCCTGTCATTAAGGGGGCTTCTCCTACGCTGCTGATTGCACTGTGCATCTCATCAAGGTAAGATAACTTTTACAGGCTCGGTCGTCCTTCGCCTGGTGTCAGCTCTGTGTATTTGTCACCAGATAAAACACAGCTAAGTGTAGCTTAACAAACCAATGCGCAGCTACAGTCCTTCTGTCTCCAAGCATTATGAGGGTTCTACAGAAGAAGCGAGAAATGAATGTGTTCTATAGAGAATGCAAATGATTAATCAAGATGTAGCAGCATTAATTAGGTGTTCCAGCCAGTACAGAGAGGCTTCACATGACTTTATGTAAATATCCAAAATTAACTCAAAAGTTAATGCTACAGAGCCAGTTCATGAAGAATCGACCAGTTCGTCCCTCCTGACCCCCTCAGAATCAGCCGATTCTTTTATATACAATAACTTTAATTAGGAATTTAACTTCATACTACAAATATTTTGAATTACAGGCCCCATAATGTTTTTTTTTTTGCACTTTTTGTTTTGTATTACTCTTTTGAACCTTCAGAGATTCATTATTATAAGAGACAGACACGTGAATTTTTCAGGGCTGAATAACACATTTGAGCTCTGTTTAAAACTGCAAACAATTTTGCATCCA